TATTTGCTATGCTGTTTCTTTGTTTGTTTGTTTATTGAGATGGGATCTTGCTCTGTGGCTCAGGCTGGCCTGGAATTCACTATAAAGACCAGACTGGCTTCCAGTGTGTGGCGATCTCTTGCCTCTTCCTCAGGAATACTGTGATTACAGGTATATGCCACCATACCTGACTGTAGGCTATGTAAGATAACTAAAAAAGAGATAAAATGGTAAAAAGAATTTGGAAGAGAACTAATAATTTCAGTCACAGCTGAATACTGACATTCAAACTTGTCCTCACTGAGACAGCTGCATATTCCTGTCTGTGGAAACGTCATTCCGATAGCTGACATATGCAATCAACATTAGCACTCATTCAGAGATGAATGGATGACAGTGACATGGTGCACCTACATAAACGATCCATTTAAAAGTGGTAAAAAAGTAGAATACAAATTTTAAATGTCTTAAATAGAACCCCCCCCCCCGCATACACACAAATTGAGTTGACTTCATTAGTCAATTTTATTGAACATTTTAAAAAGTAAAACCAGTAGTTAAAATGTTTTTCAAGAAACTAATGAAAAGAAGGAAAGACTCAGCCCATCCTAGGAGGGAAACATAAACATATCTGGCAACTGGAAGTTCATTCACTGGTCAAGGATTAACTGGAGTGATGGGAATGTGCTTGCGCCGCGCTTAGTAGAGCATCAGAGACAACAGGAGCCAAAAAGTACCCATGGACCTAACAGAGCTTCTCTCCAAGGTTCATTTTTTGCACTGTACTTGATAAATTACTAAAAATGGGATTATCCCCCCTGCTACATTTGTCAGACCTCAGAAACTGATTCAGAAATGAGTTAGTTCAGGGCCCAGAGAACTTCACCATCATTACCAGGAAGGACATAGCAACACACAAGACAAGGAAATAGCTTCCATGTCTCCTGACTCTCAGGTGCTGGGACTTCCTTCAGACTCACCTGCAGCATCTCCATGGTTGCCCCCTGCAACCGACGCTCCAGGTCTGAGATGAAATTTCCCATCAACTTCATCTGCTGGACCTGCTCATCTTCAGATTCTAACAGGACGTTCAAAACATCTTCCTTTTCTTGCTTCAGCTTTTGCAGCTCATTCTTCTCCTCAGAGTCCAGGATGTCTCTCAGTCGTTTAAACTCTTCCTGAACGTTCTGCACATCGCTCTCTATTTTATTCTAATTTAGGGATGTGAAAAGAGAGAGGCATTCAGTCTGTCAGATGGGAGTGTGAGAATATCAGGGGAAATGGGGAGAGAAAAAGGGAAGCGATTCTTCAGGAATCTTTGTCTCACGCAGCTGTCCAAAACTCTCTCTCTCTCTCTCTCTCTCTCTCTCTCTCTCTCTCTCTCTCTCTTTCTCCCTCCCTCCCTCCCTCCCTTCCTCCCTATTCTTTGTGTATCACTCCTCACTTCACTGCTGAACAAGTTGGCAGAACCTGAACCCCAAGAACAGAACCTAGAACTATTCCTAAGTATCTTCTTTCAATAAAGGCATAGTTTGAAAATGTACCACAGGACTGAAACCCAAGACTCTCTATGCATCCTCACCAAAGTCCCTCCCTGTGACCAGTTCCTCAAACTGCTGGGCTGGTTTGTGAGACTGAGGAGTCTCTAGCCCCCAAGGGAACAGATGGACAGGACGAGTCCAAGCCTCTTGGTCTTATCAACTACCAGGGAATAAAGAGGGAGGGAGCTTCTTCCCCAGGTCCTGTCCAGAGAGCTGCCTGACTCCCGTAGGAAGTGTCTGCCATGCCTGCCAGAAAGTTCTCTCTTCTTGGAGGTCATCTTTCCAGTTCTCAAATTCTTTCTTGTTGGTCATCAATTTCTGCAGATTTTCCTGGAGCTTCTCCTGTGAGAGAGAAATTGCAATAGAGTCAAGCTGTGAGCTCTGCCAGATTATTATTTCTACAGCAAGGACAAAATAGCCTTCTGGAAAAAAAGAAAGTCTAAGATTGTTACCATTTTAAGAAAATTTTGACATGATTTATTTACATAAAGTACTTGATTTTTGGTATACAGCACAATCAGTTCTTATATTTATACATACATGATTACCATATAGACAAAGACACCCAACGTTTTTTTCACCAGCAGTCCCACCAAATACAACCCAGAAACTTTGATTCCAACATCAGAGAAATAGGATAATTTTGTTAGTTTCTCAAAACTGTTCTTCAACAGTTCATATACTTCATAAATAATTCTTTGGGTCTACTTTCTTTTCTTTCCTTTCTTTCTTTTTTTTGAGACAGAGTCTCCCTGTAGTCCCAGCTGGCCTGGAACTTGCTATGCAGACCAGGCTGGCCTCGAACTCACAGAGATCTGCCTGCCCCCGCTTTCCGAGTGCCGGGATTAAGTGCATTGTTAATGTTTTCTTATACTTATTTTATCTGTATGAATGTTTTGTCTGCATGTATATGCATACCACATGCATGCCTGCTGCTGGTGAAGCAAAAAGAGGCAAAGGGATGCCCTGGTTCTTGAGCTACAGGTGCTGTGATCAGTATATGGGTGCTGGGAATCAAACCCCGGTTCACTGCAAGGGCAGCAACTCTGAGCCATCTCTTGAGCCATTTAATAACAACTTTATGTTATAAGCCTAGAAGGCAGTCCATGACACCTGCAAATTCTTTTTAACTGCTATAGGACAATTGTTTATTATTTCAGAAATCTGAACAAAAGTGATATAAACATTAAAAAGAAGGCAATCATGAAAGAAATCAGGTTGATTTAAGAAGAAAGCACAGTTTGTAGAAACTTGGATAATGCCAACTAGAATCTACACATTAGAAGAAAATAATAAAGTCACTATCTTCTCATAAACAGATTTTTATTTTGAGAAGAGGTCTCATTACACAGCACATGCTCTCTAAGAACTCTTGTTCCTCTGGCCTCTGAAATATATGCACATGCCAAATACCCAGTTAAACAGATATTCTTTGTATTAGTAGAGGAAAGAACTTGTGTCTTAACCCATCTCATTTATACTTTCTTAAAATATTTAAATAATTAGTTAACTTTGCATGTGCACGTGTGTGCGTGCTGCCACCCCATATATGTCTTGGTAACAGAACTAATCAGCTCTCTCTTTCCATTTTGTGGGTCCTGGGAAGCAGCCTAAGGTCATTAGGTTTGGTGACAGGCCCTTCAGCTTTCTCTCTGGCCTCATATCACTTCCTGTTACACTTAAGACTTAATCAGAACTTTTCATGGACATCAACTCTCAACATTACACAGCAAGCTGTAAAAATATTTCTTCTTGTTCTAGAGTTTATTCTCGGTACCTTCTCTTATAATTCGGTGGAGTGCACAATCATGTCTTCTTCCGGCCTCAGAAGGCAACAAAGGTTGGAAGAAATCGGAGCCTCAATTCTACAAATGGCAGCTGAACTAGCACACAAACTGCAGCGTTCCATCAGGAAATGTTTTATGCTGCGTTTTCCCTCAACTTCTCATTTCTTTCTTTAAACAAATATTTTATTTATTATTTTTATCTTCTGTGTATGAATGTTTTGGCTGCATGTATGTAAGTGTACCATGTACATGTAATGACAGCAGAGCCCAGAAGAGGGTGTCCAATCTCCTGGAATGGAGTCACAGACGGATGTTAGTCGCAGTGTTTTTAACCACCGTGACATCTTTCCAGCCCCAGCTTCTGATTTCTTACCCTGTACTTCTGGGCCACCTCTTCTATGAGTAATGTTTGGTGACCATGGTGCTCCTGAGATCGCTCACAAAGCCAGCAGATGGGCTTCTTGTCGTTCTCACAGAAGAGCTGCAGTTTTTCTCCATGGCGTTCACAGTTGTACACCTTCGGCTCCTCCTCTGGGCCAGACTTGACTGCCTTGATTTTCTCCACTATGTTGGCCACGTGCCGATTAAGCTGCAGACTGGGAAACAGGTAACCCACTCGGCACAAAGGGCAAGTGCCCTTCCCCTGTTGATCTTTGGTGGTGCGATAATTCAATGTGATGCAGTCTCGACAGAAGGTGTGGCCACAGTCTTGTACACTCACAGGTTCTGTCAGCAGCTCCAGACAAATGGGGCAGGTCACCTCCTCCTTTATATTAAGCATGAATTCTGAAGCCATAGGTGCTGTGATCCTGTTCCAGCCTGCTCCTGACACTCTTCCTGCTCAGATGCCTGTGCCATTGGGAAGATGAAAGGGACAAAGTAAGAAAAGGAGGAATAGACTCAACAGTGAGTGTGCAGAAATCAAGTATGGGCCGAGAGAACAGTGAAAGGTAGAGAAACAGCACTAGCATGCTGGGTGCCCACAAACAAAAAACAAAAAAGGGGCTAAAGGGATGGCTCAGTGGGTAAGAGCACCAGCTGCTCTTGCAGAGGACCCAGGTTTGATTCCCAGCACCCACATGGTGACTAACAATTATCCTTAACTCCAGTTCCAGGGGATCCAACACCCTTTTCTGGCCTCTGTGGGCATTTCACAACATAGGAGCACTTATATATGCAGGCAATACACTCATATACATAAAATAAAAATAATAAATAAAATACATTAAAAAGAGGAGAAAAATCATAGAACAGACACAGCAAACACTACTAGAGAGACATACTGTCCCAAATTAGGAAGTGGGGCAATTGGAGGGTTATCCATGAATAACAACTGGGTAGTACAGGGTTTAGGTGATGATTAAATAATTGTAAGGAATTATAAGAAGAGAAGAAATGTTTTTGTATAAGAAACCCCACATATGAAAAGCCTGTCAAGGAAGATCATGTGTCTTACATGGTTTTGAATTTGCCATTGTGACTGGTGCATAGAAAGCTGTCAGGGCTTTTGTGTCATAGAAGCCTGCAAACAGCTATGGCACCCTATCCCTCAGAAGCATAATTAGCCCCCTGAGCTACTGAGCTGGCCTATCTCCCTAAGGGGCAGTATAGGCACTTCTTAAGTCCTGAGCTACTATGGTGCCCTATGTTCCACCATATGTCACCATTAACCAACTTGTTGCCAGTCTCTCAGGGTCAGAGCCACAAGTATGGCCGCCATTCTGAGGTCCCTACTGCTGCTGCAAGGAGAAGGGGCTACACTGCCTTCTACTCTCTTTGTCTGCATTGTGCTGCTATAACAGAATACCCGAGGCTTGGTAGTTTATAAAGAATAATAATTTATTTCTTGCATGTCTAAAATGGAAGAAGTCCACGTTTGAAGGGCCCACATCTAATGAAGCCATATTTGTGTACATGTGTGCATGTGTACTTGGTTTGGTTTAATTATTTACTTATCTCTATATTTATTTATTTGACATGGACTCTCACTATGTAACCCTAGCTGATCTGGAACTCCCAGTGTAGACTAGTTTGGCCTGAAACTCACAGAGATCTGCCTGGCTCTGCCTTCTGAGTATTGGAATTAAAGTCATGCACCGCCAGACCTGGCTAATAAAGGCTTTGGGTTGCATATCTCATGATGGAAAGCAGAAGGGAAAGACAGCATTTGTGCAAGAAGGAGTCCTGGAGAAGCATAGGTGAGGGGCCAAACTAACCTTTTTATCAGGGATTCGCCCCACGGTAGCTAAATCATCCTACAAAATTAGTCCACTCAAGAGGGCTGAAGTATAGCCTCTCTCCTGAATCAAGGAATGAGTTTGCAACATATGAATACTGGATGACACACTCACATCATAGTATGTACTGCCCTGGGCCTCATTCCTTGGTCATCTTGCTGTCTTGCCCTGATTTCCAGGGTTTGAGTTTCTGGAATACATGTTAATTCCTGGATCTCTGATGGTACTCTGAGCTGCTCTGCGATAGGGTCAGATCCATAGAAAGACAACTATATTCATTCTTCCTGAGCCTGAGTTGCAACAGGGCAGCTGAGGGTCTCAGACCACTGTTTGATAGTAGTCTAGATTTACCAGCACTTTCATGATGAACTCATGTACCAGGAGTTAGTTCAGTTCACATCCCACTAACTCCACAAATACTCTGAGCACATGTGCCCTGGAGTACAGTGTTGCTGTGGTGGCCAATAGGCCAATCTAGAGCAAACTAGAACACTTCTGCTGGATTTCACACTGGGAAAAATGAACAAATTAAGTCCAGCAAAATCCTTGAAAATGAGGGTACTAACAAGCTGTATACCTAAACCCTGCAGTTGAGGCCATTGAGACCCTTTAGGCTGTGCCAAAACATTCACACAGCTGACAGAGTTTAAGCTAATGACTTATACCACAGTGCCTACCCAGAACCAGAGTTACCACACCTGACCAAGTGACACCCTTATATCCAATGCCTTATTCTCTCCCCCAGGTGTCACTGACTCTACAGACACTCTGAGCATACGTGCCATGGATCACAGCACTGCTGAGGCTGTCAATAGGCCAATCCAGGCCTATGACCTTAAGACAGACTTGTACTGAACTTCTCAGGAAAATGAAAATATCAAGTCCCCCAGTCCTTTAACTACAGAGGATGCTCACCAGCTGTACTGCTACTGCTGTTGACACACAAGCAGGTCACTTGGACACCTTCAGGCTTTGCCAACACTGATCCCAGCTAACAGAGCTGTGTGACGACTACGCCACTGTGCCTACCAGGAATCAGAGTCACTGGGCCTGGCCAAATGACACCCTTCCATACAGTGTATAAGTCTTTCCCAATAGATGCTAACCTGAAGAGTGTGACGAGATGACTGCTCCGTAAATATGCAGTCATTAACACAGGGACAGAAGAAATACCCTGAAAAAGTAGGAAACATGACCCTATCCAAGGAACACCATAATCCTCTAGTTACTGACTCCAAGAAAAGAGAAATCCAAACTGTCTTGAAAAATGAATTCAAAATAATAATTAAAAAGAAAAACCAGGAAATCAATTATGCAATAGGAAAGAACCACATAGAAACTCTGGAACTGAATAGTTCAATAACCGAAATTGATCCAGAAATACAGGCTTCAACACAGACTCAATGAAGCAGGAGAAGTCATCTACCAACTTGAAGCCTGCTCATCTGACACTTTATCGATGAGCGCATACAAGAGTGAACAGGTACAGGGGATAGCTTTCAGAAAATCAGTGTGCATGTGATGGTATACGAGAAGAGATTTTACAAAGAAGCTGTGGTTCCATGGTATATTCTCTCTCTCTCTCTCTCTCTCTCTCTCTCTCTCTCTCTCTGAACTGAACCCAGAACTTGGGAAGTACCCATCTACTAAGCTACACCGCAAATATTTAAAAAAATTTGACACAGGATGTCATTGCGTTGCCCAGGCAGGCCTTGAACTTGCTCTCCTCCTGCTTCAGCATCCTAGGTAGCTGGAATTACAGCACTGGGCTGTGCTCCCCTTCTCTGTGTCACACAGGGCTCCAGGAGAAGGAAGAACAAGGGTGGTGAATTTTAGACCAACAGTAATCCCCTGTCGGACTTGGTGCTGTGGACTAGATCAGCGATTACATAACAGGCTGCACAGCTTCAAGGCTTCAAAACAATCAGGGGAAAGCGCTGGGAACCAATCCAGAGTCACACAGGCAGAACACCAGGTTTTTCACAAACATGCTTAATAGGTTTCATTTTCAAAGTCAAGAGGCTCTTGTTGGGCCCTGCTGTTGGGGGAAGGGACTATCTTTCCTGCAACACAGGGCTCTAGATCTCTTCACAAAGGTGCAATTCAGAGTAATAGACTGTTAAAGAATAGGCAACTCCAGGTCTGGAAAAAACAACTTGGATTCTCTCAATCTTTAAACCTGGTCTTTCAAAGCCGCCCCTCTCCAGGCCCATCTGGAGAGTGCTCAGCAGGAAGCCGGAAGCCCCTCCCCTTCCTTCCCCTTTTCAGATAACAAAACTCACCCCAGAAAACACAGTGATTTCTTCTGGTTTTCCAACTTGGCCCTCAGCAAATTTGCTCTACACACTATCAGACACAAATGCAAAAGCCATAAATCAGGGACGAGCAAGGCCAGGTGTAGGCCATTAACTCCCCAGGCCTGAAATCAAAGGCTCTCCTTCTTCCGTTGCAGCCTCAGAAAGAATGAAAGTTAAATCGTTGAGGGCGGGAGTAAAAACATAAACTACAGAACTTTGTACCAATGGGATGCGTCCACGTAATTATCTAGACTCCTACCACCAGAGGGAGCTTCCAGAAAAAGCTGCAGTGCGTTTCCCAAGTGACCTGGTACCAGGAAAGACTCCACTATCCTTTAATGCTTTTTTTCAAGAGTTGACCAACTGTCTTGCTTGGCAGATGTGGCCCAAAAAGGAGAAGCAAACTTAGTGACAGAGAATTGCAATATTCCCCTGAAGTTGAACAGCGGGCACAGAACAGAAAGGAAGCTGCAGATCAGGGCAGATGCCAGGCAGTCAGGCTTTCCCACCCAGCCAGTGCAGGGTGTTAAGGATTTATCTGGAGAGCCATGCAGAAATACTACCTTATTGCATTTATAGCACTTGCATTCACAAACTGCAAAGAGCTCCCCAACTGCTCCCTGCTGTCTTCTCCACATTATGTATTATATGTTGAATATTCAAAGGTTTTTTGTTTTGTTTCATTTTGTTGTTGTGTTGTTTTGTCAGGGAGTGTTGAACTGGACCATCCTTCAATCTACAAGTGGTTGTTAGCTGCCATATGGGTGCTGGGATTCAAACCCAGGTCCTCTGCACAAGCAGCCTTTGCTCTTAACTGCTGAGCATCTCTGCAGCCCCTGATTTATAATTTGAAAAAAAATGTGATTTCATAATCTAGTTATTCTACTTCTTAAAAAAAAGGGAGGAATAGTTTGGAAGTGAACTGATATACATTCTTCATCCTCTTTTTAGGAAACAGTGTCAAGCTTGTTACTCTGTAGCCCAGGCTGGGCTCAGATGCGCAGCCCGCAGGCTGCCTCAGTCTTTCAAGTACTGGGATTGCAGGTATGATCCACCATTCCAAGTTGTGATGTACACTCTTCTTTTTTCTTTCTTTTTTTTGAAACTTGGTCTCCCTGTAAACCTCAGCTGGCCTATAACCTGCTATGGAGACCAGGTTGTCTCTCATCTCACAGAGATCCACCTGCCTCTACCTCCAGAGAGCTGGGATTAAAGGCACGTGCCACCATCTCAGTCTGATAAACAATCGTAAATAACATTTATTTTAGTCACAGTGATGACAACTCCAACATTAATAGACTCTACATTGGATTACCATCTACATGTCAGAAACAACTTTCTAATAGTATTCTGTTGTTTGTGGAAAACTTATAAGTATTTTCATGGTTAATTTTAGTTTGAATATCACAGAATTTAGTTACTTGATAAGGACCAATATGTAGCAACACAAAAATTGCCATCCAATGTGAAAAAGAAGAAGTGTACAGACTTATATGACAAAGAGTCGTGGTTCCAGTTATCTGTGAACCTGATGGCAAGAATTCAGTAAAGTCACCCCACATCCCCCATTTGCCCGCTGCTGATGGCACACCAATACAGTACACATCTCTCAGTAATTAACAGAACAAGTACTTACTGAGCCACATTTATGTATGTTTTATATTTAGTGAATATCTTCTCTTTTTTTAAAATTGGCTCAGTGGTTAAGAACACTGGTTGTTCTCACAGGGGACCCGGGTTTGAATCCCAGCACCCACATGGCAGGAAACAACTGTCCACAACTCCAGTTCCAGGGGATCTGACAGCCTCTTCTGTCCTCCACGGGCATTGCATGACATGGGTGCACTTACCTATATGTAGGCAATACACGCATACACATAAAATAAAAATAATAAATAAAAAAATATTGTACTTATTCATCTTACATTTGTGTCTGGGCCAGTGGGTACCCACAGCATGTATGTAGAGATCGCAGGATAAAGTTTATGAATCAGTTCTCTTTTTGTACCATCTGGGTCCAGGGAATCAAACTTAAGTCATGAGGGGTTGGTGGCAAGGGCTTTTACATGCTGAACCATTCTGACAGTCTGTACTTATTTTCTTACACTGAACTAAGGTACAATATCTGTATCAAAATTGTAAGAAAGTAAGTACAACCATTTAAGTAAGTTATTCAAGTTACACAGGTGACATGTGAAGACACAAGAATTGAACTTGGATACTCTGAACACATAGTTTGTATTCTTCTTGGCAACATTTATGGTACTTTCTCTTTAATTCCCTGATGAAGTATCAAGTTAAACTTAACTGCTCCTCCTCATTTAGAAACCAGACCTCTATACATAATCTTTAAACTAATAAAAGTTGTTGAAAAACTTTATCTTTTCTCAATGGGAGAGAGAAAGGTTGTAGAGATATGGTGGAGGCCAGGCTAGAAGGTTAGTGATAGATAAGCTCCTTAGCATGCACATGACCCTGGGCCTGGTCTCAAAAAAGAAAAAGAAAGAGAAGAGGAGGAACGGGATGAGGAAAAGCAGGGCTAAGAATGGAATTACCTCACTTAACCAGGGATCAGCCATTTCCTTTGGGTATACGGGAAATGTTGAATTACTATTCTCTTATTGACAAGCAAGGGATTGAGAAGATAGGTTTCTGGGAAATGCATAGATCTTAATTCCTATTTGTGGGAGAGGGACATTCAAATCGAAAGACTGAAGACAGCAAAGAAAATGTTTGAATGGTGCTCTTGAGATACACACCAAGGTAAGGGGCACTGTGTAGAAAGGGGTGAGGGTTTAGAAGTTGGGCCAGCACACTGCCATTGGCTGTTGACACTCCATAGGATTAAAATATGGAAAAACTCTTTTTGAAAAGGAACATGAAGAGAATCTATAGATGAGAATTCTGTTGTTAACATCATAAAATGAGAGAATAAGAACCCTGTAGTCTAGGAAAATTCCAACACAGGGGGAGGAAGAGTCAGACAGAGGGCAAGACTGGCATCATGGGTGACGCTACACTCCAGAAAAGCCTTGTTTGTGGACCCTTGCTGTGTCCCTAAAACCCAGTAGCCACATTGATAATGGCTACTAAGTGCAACATCAGAACTAAAATGACACATGAAGCCAACTTTTTACTTTGAAGGAGATATGGACTTGGCACATCTACTATCATTTAACCCCAGGAGTCAAACATATTCTCTAGACAAGCTACCTCCCAACAATATTTCCAGGATTGGATAGCTGGGGAGCCCAGGGCATGCTCTCCAAATCCTGGACCTGGGAATGAAAACTTGATGTCTAGTCAATGTTTGGAGAGTTGCTTCAAGTCAGCAAACAAATTTACACAATTCAGTAAAGGACTAAATATAAGCTCATTTATAATATTATGAGAAGAACGGTAATAAGACTGTGAGATGGAAGTGGAAACTTTGTTCTGAAGTCACAGGAGGCAGAATACTGCAAATACTGTCTGTTATGTGTATATTGGAAGAAGCAACAGGAGCCTTAAACCAGGAAGAGCACTAGTGATAAGCTGATATACCGTTCAAGGCTCACTGAATGACCAGAGGTTCCTTCATATAAATTCCAAAAGTAATAGAAAGTTATTGAAAAGATTTTCCTTCATCTTGTCATTGCCAAAGAGAATGGAATTGTAGAGATGTGGAGACATGAGGCAAATAACTCAGTGACAGAGCACTTCCTCAGCATGTATAAGGCCCTCGGTTCCATCTCTAGCACTGACAAAAATGAATCAGTCATTTTATTTGGATGTATATGAAATGATAACTCTCTTCTCTGGTAAACAAACAAGGGATTGGCAAATATACGATTTGAGAAAATGCATACATCCTTCTCTTTATGACTGAAGGAAATTCAAACAGAAAGGCTGTAGACAGAAACAAAAAAGTTAAAATGGCATCCATGAGACCAGGTGTGTCACCTACACCCTAAGGTAGGGTTACTGCACAGAAGTGAGTGAGGGCTTAACTATCATTGAGCCTGCATTCTGCCATTGGCTCTTTCCATCCCATAGAGTTAAAATACCAAAAATGTATATTAGGAAAGGAACATGCCAAGACTCCACAGATGAGAGCAGCATGGTTGGAAATAACATAAAATGAGAGAGTTCGAGCCCCATGGTCTAGGAAAACTCCAAAATGACTGAGAGGAATAGTCAGAGATAGGGTCAAGACAGGAATTCTGGATGCTCATCAAAGACATTGTATGTGGGCCCTTTCTGCATTCCTATAACCCAGTAACTACATTGGGATGATAATTTGTATTCTTGCTAACATCATGAGCTACATATGAGTATGTGGTGCATATCATCCTCTGAAAGTAATGTGGCTTTGGTGCATCTTCCTCCATTTAACCAGAAGAGCCGGGCAGATTTTCTAGACATGTCTACCTCCAGGACACCCTGTTGACCATCCTGATTCTGGCATGGAAATTCAATTATCAACTGACTTTTCAATGTTATTTGTAAGCCAAACTGTGGTCTGTTTCTTTCAGTCTGTGCCATGCGAATTGCAGAAAAATTACACAGTTAGTAGGTGTCATATGAAAGATAAAATACATCCTTATTTGTGATATATAAATTGAATTCTAAGAAGAAAATGAGACGAAAGACAGAGGAATATTGGAGAAATATGCTGTGTATGTGTATGGGAAGAAACAGCATGAGTCTTAGGATGTGAGGCCTGATACAGAAATAAGCTGTGAAAGACACTGAGTTCCTTATAGTACTGTGACTTTTCCTTACCCTAGTAGTATTGGACTTCTGTTAGCTCTGGAATGATAAAAGTTTATAATATTAAATATAAGCCAATAGATCAACATGATAATATTGATCTCTTCTTTGGATTAGGGAAAGAACTGGAAGCTATGAGTGGGTAGTGGATGAATGGACATTTCCCATTCAATATGACATTACTGTCACAACATATCTCTTCTTCTGTGTCCTTCAAGCCACACTTAGAAACTTCACTCTCTTCTCTCTTCAGCCCCTGCCACCTCTGGAATCTCACACCAAACCACTTAATTTAGCTCTCCTCATCTTGAAACACTTCCAAGCATCTGTCTCAGATCAGGAGCTCAGAGCACTCTTTGTCCTTTGGGGATAGATTTTTGCTTCTTCATTCTCATAATCTAACTCCTAGAGATGAAAAATATTGATCTCTGCGACGGACCAGCCCAGACCGGAGCACTCAGTCCGACGGGAACAGGGAATCGGAGAGTGGGCAAGGATTCGGCAAGTGACAGACACAACACAAGAGATGGTTGATGATCTGAATGTAATTTTCTAAAGTGGAGCATCAGATTTTATACAAGTTACAGAACAAGATTGTGCAGGCACCAGGTTGATTTCATGGTTAATCATTTTGTTAGAAATACAATTCAAAATCAAAGCAATACAGTATAGTGTGGAGTGTTCTTATCTAATTAATCAGGTGCTTAGAATATTTGTCCTTTTCCCTTAGTGGTTTGGCAACATCAGCTACTTATAAATTTCATGGTTGGTAATTTTATGGTTCCGTTTTCTCAATTTTATCTTACTTCTGAGGTTTTGATGGCCAAGGCCAATGACTAGGTCAGTGAAGTTGTAAAATAGCATCTTCCTTATTAACTCCATATAACTTCAAAGGCTTGTATCTCTAATCCATATTTTCCTATTATTTCTTTCCATGTTTCTTATACTGCCTGTAATTGTTCAAGTATACTGTGCTATGCTGACTTGTAGTAAAGGCACCAAGGTGGTCTGGCTCTAGCTAACCTATCCATAAACTATAGTGAATGCCATGAAACTTTCCATCCTTGACTATTTACCCATCTATTATTTCCTTCATAAACTCCTGTATGAGGAAGTGGTTCATCAGTGGGCTCAGGGATTCTGAATATGCTCTCCTTTCCCTTAAGGGGATGCCATAGCCTACCTCTCGCTAACTCGTAGGCAATTCCAAAGTCTGTCTTAACTGTAGGCAGCAATCTTCTTTCAGTATCCCTTTGATCTCCTTGAGTCAACTCTAGGGACTGAAGCAGGGGGATTATATACTAATAATTCTTCTTGCTGTAACTTATCTAGAATTTTCCAAGGTTGCCTATTCTTAGCTAGTTTACTTATTGCTTGAAACAAGAGAGGAGCATTTGGAGGAAGTCTAATATCGGGAAACTGAGTTCCCAGGAAATCATCCATATCTAGTCTCTCTTCAGGTGGGCCTAATGACCTGAGTAGGTACAAAGCAGTTCCTCCATGAGGAAAGAACAGGAATAAAGACAGGAACTAAAGCAGAACAGCCAAGGACACAGCATGCTTTTTTAACACAGCCATTCTCCGGGAAGCATTCTTCCTCTGAAGTTTTCTTAGCCTCGACCCACGGAGAGTTCCTCACACAGGCTCCACTGGAGGTGGCATGACAGATTTCCATGCCTCAGAATTTGTGACCCCTGACCACCACGGACTAGGTACTATCTCTTCATTGTATAGATGTACTTAAATTCTTCAGAGGACACTGAGAACAGAGAGTGAGGATAGACTACTGTTGGATAGGTGTGTCCTCCTAAAGAACTAGCACTGAACCCTTAGAGACTCTGTAGACAGAGGGGGAGATAGTCACTCCTCCAATCCAATCAGTCAGCTTCAATTGCATGAGAGGGTAAGTCTAAGGACAGGCACAGAAGAAGCCAGGAGGCAGTGGGAAGTTGCCATCTTGGGTGGTGCTTGGATGAGTATGGAGCTGAAAGCTCAGCTGAGATGTAGGGGAAACAGCCCACGGGTGTATGCCTTTGTAAGTAACTTTCTTCCGGACATCATAAACTATACAAAAATCCCCGAATAGATGCATTGTGTTGGCTTTGTTGGTAGGGCATAGGGACACTGCAGGGCCTAGCAGCCAAGAGAGGGCACGCAGGTCTTCCAGGGGAGAACGTGGCTTTACAAATTGGTGTGGTTGGACTGGATACTCAGGATAGGACAAACCACAGGAGTTTCAGAAGAGCAATACGATGTCTCTGATAGGGAGAAAGGCTGAAGCAAAGTTGGGGGAAGGGAGAGTGCGGACAATCCCCATAAAATTAATGGGATTAGCAGTACTCACATGGATTATGTGATGGATAATAAAATATGTAACTAAAATGAGGTTGCCTATGCAAATGCTGATGAATTCAATGGGGGAAATCCGCAGGTGGCCGCCATCCCGTAAATGATATAAAATAGCTCAGTTGCTTAAGTGATGGGGGTCACCACCACATATGTATGAAAATTAAGGATTGTGGAAGGTCTTGAAAAAATTTTACAGGCCATGGAAACAAAATAGGAATTTAAAAAAAAAAAAAAAAAAAAAAAAAAAAAAAAAAAGCTGCTGAAGCCTCTTGGGCCTGCTGTGCATAATAAAAGACTGGTGGGAGGCAGAGACTATAGTCCCAGGGGAGACTGAAAAGGCTGAGGAGTTATTGGCAAATTCAGTATCGGCCTCAGAACTGCGTGATGACAAAGGAAATGACCTAGAAATAAAAATAGCTAAAGATGCCCCTCAGATTCAACCTTTAATATAAAAAGAGAAAAAAAAGTCACGTTTCAACCTGCTGATAATAGCTTAACAATACTGTAGCCAGCAGAAAATACTCCACACTGTAGTTGAGGATATAGGACATGAGAGCAAATGATATTAGTTTAAGTCCTTCAGAAGTGTTGTGCCCAGAGAATGGACCCCCAAGAATAACCACGGAATCCAGAGGGCATGCAAGAACAAAGAGTCTTTATTTGGGCTTAAGCTCAGCTCGGGTTCTCAGACCTCACCAATGCAATGGATCTGTGCTGAGAGCCCCG